TCAATTGTATCTACGCTGGCATTTATCAGAAGAAGGCAGGTGTGAAACCGAGAGGATGCCTCGAGCAGGTGCTCCAGCAGCCGTATGCAAGGAAGCTGAGACTGGGCGGGGGGGGGGGGGACAATATTTTGTGTGCAAGCAGTTCCACAGCTGGCTATACCAACAGCTCATTTGTGCAAGGAAGTCCACGTGTATAATAACCCCAGCTTAGCTACCTCAGACCAGCTTTCTAGCTTGGGTAACTGCATTTTCTTTCTCATTTCCTAGGCCAAGTCCTGCAACAGACAGCCTGTCCTCTATCAACCCCACACCCTCAGTTACAATCCCGAGCAACACAGCGCCTAGTGCTTTCCATGCTCTGCAGAACAGACTCGTGACCAGTGGCACCACTTGCTTGCAGGCCCAATCTGCTGGTGCACTCCCAGGTAACTTCAGGCTGTGATTCTGTAAGGGAGAAGCAGCCCTCAGAGGAGGGTGATAGGAAAGCATCTTTGTCTTTATCCAAATTTGGGTACTGCTTGGCCCCTGTGGCATTACTGGCACAGTCACAAGGGAGCAGATGTCGATGTTTGTTTTAAGTGTATTTAATCCGTCTGTCTAACTATATCATGTATATAACTCCCTGTCTCGTGTAACAACTCTGGATGGCATACACACTAAAACAATCAAAGTAGATTTTTTTAAAAAAACAAAACCACAATCCAAATGAAGATAAAAAACAAGATGGTGAAGAAAATGTTCAGGGAGCACATTCCAGTTAACCATCATGTAACCATCTAGCACGCTCTATCACAAAACCATGTTTTGAGGTCCTTCTGGAAGGCCAATAGGGTTGGAGCCACCTCAGAGAGGAAGGATGTTCCATAGGCTGGGGACCACGGCAGAAAAGGCTTTCCTCCCAGGCCCTGCCCAGTGAAACACTCTGGCTAGCAGGGCCCATGATGTGCCTCTTGGGCTAAACCTGGAGGGACAGGGAACTGGGAAGAGGCGGCCCCTCCGATGTCCTCTATGTCAGTGGTTCTCCACCTGTGGGTCGGGACCCCATTTGGGGTCGAATGACCATTTCACGGGGGTCGCCAAACCACGTTGTCCGCCATTTTTTCCCTTTTCCCTAGCTGTTCTACTCCCTCTTATTGGTGGCCACACCCACTTGGGGGTCACCACAACATGGGGAACTGTATTATGGGGTCACGGCATTAGAAAGGTTGAGAATCACTGCTCTATGTAGTCCTTCCGAGTCAGTGAAATTTGCAGACAAAATCCTCTATTTAAACAAACAATAACAAAGGTAGCAGCGGACCTTCCAGCAGGGCCTGATCCAAGAAGTTCTGGTTCCATTTCAGAGGGACCTGAGAGCAAGTCTGAAGCTGCTTCAGATACATAATCCCAATGAATTGGCCAACATGCTGTTCTGGGTGACCACGTCTAAAGGACTTCTTGAATTTCCTGATGCAGGGCTCTCTGTTGCCTGTTTCTCTTTAGGGGCAGCTTCAGCCAGCAGCCTTCTCCAAGGTCTGAGCTTCAGTCTGCAGGACATCAACACGAAGGCCGCTGCTCTCCCAGCCGGTGTTGCTGCTGCTGGGTCCTTGGCACAGGTGGGCACTAGAGGCAGCACAGGCCCAAGGAGAGTGGCTCGTGCCAACGGGCAACAGTCGATGGTTAAATTTTCTGGAATTTTGTAAGCTAGTTGAGAGCAGAGCTAAGCTGCAACATCTCACACACCGCTGGCCGTGTGGCAATGGCAATGGAGCTGGGAGATCTGGGTCTTAAACATTTATCAGCACACATTTCGGTAGGTGGAAAATGTGCATTTTAATGGAACATGGAAGTATGAAATAATGGGCAAAGTCTGATTTCAGCCATGCAGATTTGACCAAGTGGAAACCTGAGTGTGAAGCTTAAGAAAAGGTGAGATTAAGGAAAGTTATATTTAGTCTCTGCTTATTCAAAGGATGGAGGTGAATGAGCGCTTCTTCGCATTCCGGAGAATGTTTTTATTCTTCCTTTTCACAGGGTGCCCATACGTGGCTTATTGTGATCGGAAGACCTGAGTGTGGCAGACTAAGCACTCCTTCAGGATAGAGGAAAATGATTTTTGTTTTGTTGTGACCTTTTCTTCGTTCCACTTTGCAGAACTCAACCTTGAAGACTTCAGCACCACTCCAGAGTCTGAGTACCATCACCACCAGCACAAGCACGATTGTTCGAACGATCCCAGTTGCCACATCTTTATCATCTCTTGGAGCCCCGGCTAGTGGGAAGCCCACCACTATTCATCAGTTGCTTACAAATGGGGGGCTGGCAAAACTTGCAAGTAGCCTCCCTGGTTTGGCTCACATCTCTGGTCAGGGAACAGGTAAGGTTCCAGCTGCATGAGCAGATCAAAGAAAAGTTCTTCTTGGGGTAGCTGACACTTGATTACATGTCTCAGTGACACAAACATTTTGAGAAAAGAATCTGTGTAAGGAAGTAGCCAAAGTGTTGGAGTTGAACCAGCACCAGCTCCAGCAAAGTTTGCCCGGTAACCTTCCACCTTTTATTGTTCCATATGGACTTGCCCCGCAGGTTTAAAGTAAGCTCATGCCTTACGAAGTGCCATCTAGACAAACTAAGGTACTGGTACAATGTTCGTGATTGAGGCCCAGCTGGGAAATTCCAGATTGTCTTCAGGTCCCAAAAGCTCCCTACTGGAATGTGCATTTCAGGGCCTCCGGTAACTCTTGCCTCCTCTTTGCCAGGCTTAAAGGCCCCAACCACCATCACAGTGACCCTCCGGGGACAGGCCAGTCGAGCCGCCACACTCAGCCAGACCACAGGGGGGGCTGCCCAGACCCAGTTGGAGGAGCAGACACAGCTGCTGCTTCCCCCACAACTGCCCCAGGTAAGTGCGTGACAAGGTGATCCGCAGTCCTGGGAGGGAGGGATCTGCCTCGCACGTCCTTTGGAGAGGATCAGGCAGGGGTCTTTGGCATTCATCTAGAGACCTAGTTCTTAATGGCTGTGGGGTGATTCAATGAAAATCTGTACTTTCCGAACTATAACTCGCTGTGATGAGTTTCGACTTGCCTTGTGCTCACTGCATTCTTTGAACAGACTTTTTACTAGCCTCCATTTCAGTTCATGGTGCCTGTCCCACTTTTCAGGTTGCAGATCATGCAGCTGGGAATCTGAATTGCTCAGTTTCCAGCCCCATTCCTTCCAGTAAACGGTTGCCTCAGCTGGAACTTGGCAAAACCCAGAGTGCCGAGAGACTGCCTGCCGATCCTCATCCATCCTCAGCCGTATCACTGGCTGTAGGTGAGAAAGAGTGATAGTCCTGGTTTTCTTTCCCTTCATGCTGCTAGAGCCATCAGTTATTGTCTGTATCTTATTCTAAATAGCACCCAAGAATAAAGGGTAGGTTCTTCTGATTTTAAATCTCTGGTTTATGTTACAAACATTGGATCAAACATCAACTTTTCTGACAGCTGCTCCTTCCCAGATTACATCTGTCATGACTAGTGTGTAAATGTCCCAACAGTGTCCCTCCAACTTCCGTTAACCACAGCCAGCATCACCAGGGTGGAGTGGAAGCCTGGCGTTAATCATTGTTTTATCAGCAATTCTGGTGGTGTATTTATGTATTTTTTTAAAAAGGCCAAAAATCCTGGACAGTTTACTTATCGTTAACTTTCCTGACTTTCCTTGTATCATTGCCATATTTACAGGTTCACCGAAATTAAGAAGCTAAAGACACTCTTTTGCTAGAGGGTAGATTGGGAAGCCTGGTTGATTTGAAGGCTGCTAACAGAGGTCACAGTAAGAATTAGAGAATCACTTTATCAGTTTGTGGAGGTTTCCCTGAGGAATCCATGCCTGTGATGGCTCAGCAAAACCCAGGAACTCAGTTATAGGAGTTGAGCATTTAACACCATGTGAACCATCTCCCTTATCCTTCTCCTTATCTAGTAACTACCACAAGCCCCATGAAGACCCTCTACGTGATGTCAGATGCGAAACTGTCTGCACTCACAAAATCTGTCATGGCAGAAGCTGCATCTGTCCCTCTGAAAGCCACAGCTGTCCAAGCTGCTGCTGCTGCTTCCTCTGCTACTCCTTCCTCCCTTCCTGGAGCTATGACCTTTGCCACCTCAACTACAACCAGCACACCTGGCAGTTTGGGGCATTCTAAAGTGGGGCCTGTTTTGCAGACAGCTTCCAAGACAGTGATACTCACCTCTACGCTAACAGCTTTGAAGACTGACCGAAGCCTAGGACAGAGAGGGGAGATGGCCCTGGCCAAAGGGCATGAACTTGGGACTATGGAAACTTTGGGCAGAGTACCATCTGTAATGGATGACAGCAGTACCATCATCCACACCCAGGAGAGCCTCACAAGCAGACATTTGCTTCCACAGGGCATGTTGCCTTCAGCAGCTGGCACCACACTTATTACTTTAAGCAGCAACCTAGCTGGCTCCTCCATCATCCCCACCGCTGGGGCTGCCCTCAGCCAGAAACCAGGACATCCCACCATTTGACGACTTTTTGGCTTTACCACGGGAAATAAAATAAAATAAAACAGCTTATCATTCCTGGCTTCCACGACAAGAGGATACATTGTTTTGTTTCTTTGACCCTTTTAATAAACTTTTTGTGTATGTACCACCTTTTAATTCTGTAAAGGGCTGGCTTATTTTTCACAAGTATTAAGTACAGGCTAGATGCTTCTATTTGGAGTTCTTGAGTGGATAGGCCTAGTGCGTATAAGGGAAGCATAACCATTTCATTAACAAGGTCAGGCTGTATTCAGTGCATCAGGCCCTTCCCAAATAAACTAGGGGAAATGGGATAAATGGGAAAGACCTCATGAACTGAAGAGGTGCTGAAAAAAAAATTATCTTGCTCAATAGCAGCAAGTGTTAATCTGCCAGAAAATTTCAGTCTTTTACTATTTCAAGGGTAAGCAGAAATATTCCTGATATACTTTTTTGAGAACCCACAAATCAATAAGACAGAGCTTTCATTACTGATGGACTTTATTTTGCTTCCACAATCAAAACATTTATCAAGTTCTGTTAGAGTGAAAGATTCTAAGCATGCTCGTGGCTTTCAATTAATTATAAACCCCCTTAGCTAGAATGCAGTTCTATAACAGACTTTAATCAAAAATTTGAAAAATAAAAGGACCAATTGAAAGGTTTAAATCTGAATCTAAACCAAGCCTGAAGATTAGTGGGAACCAGTCTGGCACACCACAGCCTCTCTGGCATTTTAAAAACTCTCGTGAAATAGTGGGCTGGCTTTACGTTTTTTGCTCAGTAGGGCTCGGAAATATAATTTATTATCTATGATAAAATGCATTTCCACATAAAAACATCTCTCCTGAAACTATACATTAGATAACAAAACTCATGATTTCAAGGAACCAACATTGACACAATTTAAGCATATAAGCACCCCCCGTGATAACTTGCTATTTAAATGGCCTTTTTCTTGGAATGTAATAAAGGGTTCCTAATAGTTACACAAACGTTTAGCAAACATTGGAGGTATGTACCATACTTTTCATAATACTCAAATACATGATTACATTTCTAAACCAAATTAATCATTTGTCAATGTATTAAACTGCCTTGCTATGGCTATAGAAGTAGCTCCCCATTGCTGGTAAACAAAGAAAATGCTTCCCTATTCATTTCAAAGGAATAGAAAACATAAGATCCGTTTACTGGCTGACCTTGGTAGCAATGTCAGCTCCAAGTGAACTGGGGAACTCAAAAAGCAAACGAGCCTGGAGACTTCAAAAAAAGGCAGGCAGAGGTGGGAATGGTGATGAGATTCTCCTCTAGGTATTGTTCAAAAAGGACATTCTGACTACTATTCTTATCATGAGTTCACTGTGGTAACAATGGTTTTATAGAGAAATGCAGGATTCCTGGATGGCATCAGGCCAATTGGTGTAATTTGTCTGCTACTTCCGTTCTCTAAGTATAAGCGGACCCTGCATGTGCCAATATCTCCCCACACGATCTCTGGGAATAAGTCGCAATTCTGAACCGTGCTTCAAGAAAACATTCCCTGGAAAAAGAAAAGGAAGGTTATTGCCTAAAAGGATACACAAGAGATTTTTATTTGTGCTTTAATTAAAGGTTTTAGTAAATGCATAAACATAATTCTGCAAGGTGCAGCAGGAAAGAAACAACAGAAATTCTAAAAAAACATCTGCCTGTTTTACTCCTCCACTGCTAGGGAGGAGCAGAGAGAATATGGCAGCAGCTCAGACCTTTGTAAACACCCTCTGCACTCCTACTCAAGACATCTGGACTCACAAGGCCTTTTTAACATCTTTTGCTCATGAAATATTTTCACAGCTTGCAATCATTACACAAATATGCAGATCTAGGTAAACATTTTATTCTCATGTTCAGTAGGTTTGTTTATGACTTTAGAATCTAGACAAAACCTGTTCCTAAAAAGTGACGCTCTTAACCAATGTAGACATATTCAAGGTAAAGTATTTTATCATTTATCATAAATGATAAAAAAAGCTTGCAGGGATCACATAAACATCTGAACCACACATTAACCAAATGAGCCACACATTAACCAATAAGCTAATAAATTAACATTAACCAAATGAGCCAAACATTAACCAATAAGCTCATAAATTAGTTGCGGTCCTAGTGCTAGGTCCAGGCAAGCCTGGACCTAGCACTAGGACCGCAACTAATTTATGAGCTTATTGTAAAGGCTGTTTTGAGCAGCAATAATATAAAAGCATAGAGTCATGAAAATACTTAAAACTTTATAAGCATTTATGCTTGTTCATACTCGCAATTGCTCCTTTGTGTTCCTATGCATGTCTCAAGAGATGCCATCTAACTTCTGAGGAGCATATTTGCCCAGACAACGGTCAGCAGTCTCTAGCTTTCCAGAGTCTGTTGAACTGAAGAAGTCGTCATTCACCACAAGGACCTGCCAATTCATGTCTTAACATAATTATTGTGTATTGAGAAATGTCTGGAAAAGTTGTCAGGATGATGCTTTATGCTGCTTCTTTATTGATATTATATGGTGGAAAAATCTGTTTCTTGCTATCCCTTATCTTTAATATCTACAGCAGTACATCTGTACAGAATTCATTACAAAATACTCTTAGAATTTTACAGGCACTTACCAGCTGTCTGATCAGGGTTTATTCCTATTCCATCTGGGGGGGGGGGGAGAAATTAAAGAGATTAGTGCAGGGATCTTCAAACTTGGCCCTTTTATGACTTGTGGACTTCAACTCCCAGAATTCCTCAGCCTGGGTTAGTGAGATTCTGCTGCAGTATATCCCCTCTGGATCCCGTGAAAACGAATGGAATCATTACTAAAACAAAATCAGATTCTTGCCCAGCTCATGAGATTAAAAAATGTAATACGTAAGAAAAAATATAACAGTGCCCTCTATGAAAATGCTAGCATGATTTTAGTACATGTAATCAGAAACAAGTGGACAAGCTTGATTACTGGATTTCAACAGAATAGGCATTAACAAATCACCAGTGCTATTTTTAGAACTAAAACTCTGCAGCATTTCGAAGGCCAAAAGATACCACAGAGCATGAAGACTCAGCCTACAGTTCCCTAAAGCAGCCCACCATTCCTCGGATCACTTGGCAACTCCAGATGGTTGGCTGCACCCTACAAATTCAAGAAAAGACTTTAAGCAGTTATGGAGAGGAGCTGCATTCCTGCCCTGAATCTCAAACACTGTACAGTGGAATGATGTCTGGATTCTCAGTCATCCGGGGCATAGTGGTCTAAAAGGAGTTTTTTCAAAAGGCAACTGAACTGTTTTTTCCTTGAGGAAAAAACATTTTCTTCTTCCTCAAGAAAGAACAGTCCAGTTGCCCTTTGAAAAAGCACTTTTGCATAGTTGAAATACTTCCAAGTTTCAAAGTACTGTGAGATGCCCTTCACAATGCAGAGCCCATCAAAATTCTGGTTCACCCTTAACAAAACCGAGTATCTATAAGGCTTAGGCTTTTTTTCTGTTTTCATAGGTAAGTTGCTCATGCCCATTTGGTAATGAAAGGGGAATTTTCTTCTAAAGGATAATACATTAGCCCCCTCGTGCTTCTAGCGACTCATGGTCAGGTTTGATTGATGTGGGTGAGCCTAATTCAGGTCTAGGTCAAGGTAGTCTTTGACTCACAACCATACCTGAGCTTGGAATTACAATTATAAGCCATGGAGCTCATGTGACAGCGTCCACGTTCACAATCTTTTTTGCAATGATTGTTAAGTGAACACGGCAACTGTGAAGTGAACCCATTTACACCCAAAGGGCTTTATTTGCTGGAAACTGGAAGTAAGCAGTGGTTTCTGGTAAAACACACCAAAAATCACAAACAGCAGGCAAGTTGCCAAGTGCCCAAAATGTGACCATGTGACCAGAGGGGGATGAGGAAGGAATGGGCATAGCTGTTGGAACTTTGAAACAGGGTTGCAAGTAGTTCTGGGGTTTCCTCTACCACCGTCTATCTTTCAGAGGACCTCTGAGGACCTCCTCATTCTGCAAGACCAGCTTTGCTCTATCTGCACGTGGTGACTGGCTTTAAAAACTACCTTTACTATGCCTGCCTTCCACGCCACCTTCCTTTTCACCCTTCCAAAAGTATGGCAGAAAGAACTGACTAATCCTGAATTGCTTTCTCCACCCAGCAAGTCTCTGATGCTCAGATCCTGGGCTTTGAAATTTTACGATCTGTGGTCAACTGATCCATGACCAACAGTGGAATATATCTGAGCATCTCTTAAATTATGGGTCATGGTTAAAGAAATAGAAAGACTTTAGTTTAAAGAGGGATGAACCCTCTAAGCAAGACAGTATTTTTTCTTTTGTTTTTTGATATGAGAAATATGTTTGGGATGATCAATATAAAGGAAATGTTTTAGATATTTAAATGTAATTGATTTTAAGAAAATTCCAATGGATAAATAAAAAAATATTTTGAATAGAGTTAAAAGATTAATGATTGGATTTATTAAATGGAACATTTAAAGATTAAACATAGGTTTAATTATGGGTAAAAAGAACAGAAAAAATTGGAAATAAATGTATACTCGTTTAAGAGGAATATGTATTTTAAGTAGTATATTATTTTCTCTCTTTTTTTCTTTTTCTCTCATCTTTTGTGTCATGACATGAAAATAGATTTAAATACTTTTAAGGTAATTAACTCTGGGAAAATTTTAACTAGTAAGAATGTTTTGAACATTGTAGGGAAAATAAATTTAAATAAGAATTGTAAACAGGATTCATGACGAGGCAACCAAGATGACTAGATAGAAAAGAAGCATGATATTGAGGTGATTATTATTGGTAGAAATTTTAGAAAAAAATTTCTATTTAACTGTTACCTATCAAGCTAATAAGAATTGTATTAATTTAAGGCTGGCACAGAGAATATTATTGGAAGAAGAGAAAATCAAGCAAAGCTATTATGTGGACTTTGGAATACAGAAACTGATTGTGATTACTTTGTAAACATAAACCAAGACAACATGCTGTTTACCAAATATCAAGGTGTTTATGTTACAAAAATCAATAAAATATATTTTAAAAAATAAATTATGGGTCATATAAACTCACCATTTGTTATAATGGCACTTGTAGCTGCAGGGACTTTGAACTAAATTAAATACAAATACAACAAGTTAAAAGAATAGAATTATACCTTGCCATTCCTCTTCATAAAAAAATTATTTGCGCCACTCCTACTTTATAAGACGAAAAGTGACACTATCATACTACTATATTTTGTTCTTTTTATTCCATTTCAAAACTGCCAGATAAAAAGGAAACAGTCTTTTACACAAAACATGTTGCTAAAAAATCTATTTGTATATTTTGAAAATCACTCACTTCTTCTGCAGCAAACTTCAAGACGGCTGTGAAAGGTGTTTTTTCAGGTACACTTAACCTACAAAAAACAGACAGTTCTCTAAAGTTGGTGACGGTTGCATATTTCTACACCAAAGCTTGTTTTTTAGAACCCAGTCCCGACGTCCATCTCTAACCGCCTGCTCCGGCGGGCCTGGCCCTGGCCCTCCTAGGCGTTATTGCCGAAGCAAAAGCTCCGGGCAGGGAAGCTCGGCTCCCAGCGGCTCCGGGGATCTGCAAACAGATATCCCTCCGGGTTCTCTGCCACGTCTGCGAAGTCTGGGCGTCCCAGCACTTCCCGGTTGGAACCCGCCTCCTCCCCCCACGGCAGCAGCCGGTGACCCAGGGCGGGGGTCCCGGCGGGGGCGGGGAGGCAGGCGCGCGCCCTCGCAGGTACAGAGGGAGCTTCAGGCGCGCGGGGGCTGGGCAACCAACCCCCCCCCCCGCGCTCCAGAGCCGCGCGCGACGTGACCAGCTGAGCCGGCGCGTTGCGTGGACTCACACTTTGTAAGGCAAACGCGGGTCCGAAGTGAGCGTGACCTTGAAGGTGACTTTCGCCCTGCGGGGAGAGAAGGAAACACGGCGGTTAGCAGCCGGGAGGAGGCGCCCCTTCCCCCCCCCCGCCGGCGCGAGCCCTGCAACCCCGCTTACATCTTCGGCCTCTGCAGCCGGCGGCCCCACTTCCGGACCTGCCGCGGCCGTCACTTCCGGCTCCGCCTTTCCTCCAGCGAGTAGGAACGCGCAGAGGGCTCCCTGTGTCCGGCAGCCCGGCCGGCCTCGCCGGTCCTCCCGCGCCCCGATGAGCAAGCGCAAGGCGCCGCAGGAGAACCCCAACCAGGCCATCACCGACCTCCTCAGCGGTGGGTGCCGCCGCTCTGGGCGGAGGGCCGGCCAAGCGGGCCGGAGGGGTTGTAAGACGTTTCAGGGTCCGCCACGGCGGCTCCCGGGCCCCGCGAGGCTCTTGTCAGGCAGGGAGGAAATGGAAGCGGGGCCCCCCGCGGAGAAGCACCCCTGGGCGCCGCGCCGACGGAGCCGGAAAGCCCCTGAAAGCCCCTTGGCTCGGTTCTGAAGAGGCGATACGGCGCCCGGGTTTCCTCCCGGGGCTCCTTGCATGGCGCCCGAACTGCGGCCCTTCGGGCCTCTCTCCCCGGGAAGGCGATGGAAGGCCCCGGGAAGCAGAGTTCGTGCAGGAGCCAGAGAGAGGCCCGCGAAAGAACCTGCAGGCCCCTCGCACCCTGGACGTAAACTCCGTGGCAACACTTGTTTTAGGATGGCAAGCCACCTAGTAGAGCTGTGTTACTATTATCCCTCACTTTCCTATTACCTACTCCCTTAGCATCTTACGACTATCACTTAGTTGTTTGTGTCTTACGATTTATCTTGATTGCTTTTGTTTAGTATCTTATGACTATCATTGAGTTATGATTTATGACGATTGGATTATTATGAACATGGTTTGTTGCTTGTAGGAACTCTGAGGGCTTATGCACCGTAGACAAATGTGTGTGTGTGTCCAATCACATGTTGGCCAATGAAGAATTCTATTAGAAAAATGGTATTTGATTTTGGCTTTGCTCTCCAAGCTTGTTTCAATTTAGTTTCTGAACTTTTTGTTACCAGATAGGTAATATCATCCTCTGGGGCTTTGACTAAAGCCCCAGTAAAAAAAAGCACTCCAAAGCATAATGTTACCACCCCTGTTTCATTGTGGGTATGGTATACTTTTGGTGATGCACATCCTTGTTTTTGCACCAAACATACTTTTTGGATTTATGACCAAAAATTCAACCTTGGTCTCATCAGACCATAACACATTCTCCCACATGCTTTTGTGAGACTTGATGTAGATTTTTGCAAAACATAACCAAGGTTGGATGTTTTGTTTTGAAGAAAAGGCTTCCATCTTAGAACATAGAATATAGAATAACAGAGTTGGAAGGGACCTTGGAGGTCATCTAGTCCAATCCCCCGCATAAACAGGAGAATCTATATCATTTCAGACAAGTGACTGTCCAGTCTGTTCTTGAAAAACCTCCAGTGATGGAGCTAGCTGCTTGAATTTATGAGGGTACAACTCTATTCTCTTGGAAGTTTGGGGATTGGACTAAAGGTCCGTTTCCCAAAATGCTTTTGGACTCCCTCTGTTTTAGTTAGATAGTTTAACAGTGTGCTTTCCTTTACCATTAAAATTAATATAATAGAAATTCATAGTCCCTCCCTATGAACGCCATCCCATTAGAGATGGGAATGGCCTCCACTATGACACTTCCCAAGGCCCTGAAGAGATGGTTCTGCCAATGGGCTTGGAGACCCCAACAAGTGGCTCACAAGATTTGTCGCCAGAGGGATGGGGGATTATTGTTTTTTGTATTGTTTTTATATTGGGATTTTATTCTTATAAGCTGCCCAGCGCCGTTGAGTTAAGGGGCCATATATTTTTAAAAAATAATTAAATAGTTAAATTGAGGTTTTAATTTATGCTCTTCTTTATAACTTTTTCAGAATTGGCCAACTATGAAAAGAATGTGAATAGAGCTATTCATAAATACAATGCTTACAGGTAAGATCTACACTTTGTGAACAATCATCTAATCTGTTTCATATGAAATCTTTCATCACTGTTTTAGAAAATACAGTAGAAATTTTCCTGGTATTTCTTTCTTGCAAGAGGCTGTTCTTGGAATTCTGTCATGCAATTTGGAAAACACTTTTGCCATAGACCAGCTGTCCCCAACCTTTCTGGCTTGGCGGACCAGCGGGAGGGGGAGGGGATGGTTCTGTGTGAGCGGCTGGGACGGGGTTGGGGACCCCCGCCCTAGGCTGACAACGCTGCCCAAATAGGAAGATGCTTTTTTTTCTTGTCCCGTGCAGGAAAGCAGCATCTGTAATATCCAAGTACCCTAGCAAGATAAAAAGTGGGTCCGAAGCAAAGAAATTGGTAAGTTCTGGAGCTAATAAGAATTAAAGAATTTTCCAAAGTTTTTTAGGAGTTCTTAGTTAATACGGTTGGTATTTCAAAGTTCATTAAGAAATTGCTGGATTTTAAATATTCTAAATATAATTAAACCCATTTAAAAAGAAGGTGTTCACTAAACAAGTTCATGAGAAATCTCATACTTCTGTTTTACAGAAAACAAGTCCTATTCTGCTGTAAAAAATAGTTGAGAAATTTTGCACGAATTACTAAATTGAGAACATTTATGTTTGTATGCGAAGAGCTTTTCTGATGTCACTGGTTACTAAATGTAAGATTTGTTTTTTTTAATGTCAACTTCATATTTTTAGGATGGCATAGGAACTAAAATTGCTGAAAAGATCGATGAATTTTTATCTACTGGAAAATTACGTAAGATAGAAAAGGTAAATATTTGAATGCTTAGAGTCTTATTTATGATGATGATGATGATGATGATGATGATGGAAGGGACCTTGGAGGTCTTCTAGTCCAACCCCCTGCTTAGGCAGGAAACCCTATTCAGACAAATTTCATATATATTTTCATTAAAGCTATACTGGACTATTCCATTGGTTAATTGTCCTCACTGTCAGGAAGTTTCTCCTTAATTCCAAGTTGCTTCTCTCTTTGATCAGTTTCCAATCATTATTTCTTGTCCTGTCTTCTGGTGCTTGGGGAATAACATGACCCCCTCTTCTTTGTGGCAGCCCCTCAAGTACTGGAATACTGCTATCATGTCTCCCCTAGAAGTAAGCAGTGGAGTACCACAAGGCTCTGCCTGAGGCCCAGTATTCTTCAATATCTTCATCAGTGACTTAGATGAGGGAATAGAAGGGGAACTCATCCAATTTGCAGGACGCTAAACTGGCAGGAATAGCCAACACCCCAGAAGATAAGCTCAGGATTCAAAAAGATCTTGACAAACTTGAACAATGGGCCCTATCCAACAAAATGAGTTTTAATGTGGAGAAAAGCAAAGTTTTACATTTAGGCAGGAAAAATCAAAGGTTTAAGTACAAATTAGGTGAGACCTGGCTCCTAGTGGCTATGATCAGCAGTGTGCAGCAGCAGCCAAAAAAGCTAATATAATCCTGGGTTGTATAAACAGGCATAGAATCAAGATCATGCAAAGTATTAGTACGCTTTAGTACCTTAGTGAGACCACACCTGGAATACTGCAACCAGTTTTGGTTACCATACTACAAAAAAGATGTTGAGACCTTGGAAAAAGTTCAGAGAAGAGCAACTAAGATGATCAAAGGCCTGGAGACCAAAACATATGAAGAATGGCAGTGGGATTTGGGTTTGGCTAGTGTAAAGAAAAGAAGAAATAAGGGTGACATAGCAGTATTCCAGTATTTGAGAGGCTGCCACAAAGAAGAGGGCAGGGCATCAGATTATTCTCCAAAGCACCAGAGGGCAGGACAAGAAACAATGGTTGGAAATTGATCAAAGAGAGAAGCAACCTGGAATTAAGGAGAAACTTCCTAACAGGGAGGACAATTAACCAGTGGAACAGCTTTGTCTTCAGAAATCGTGGGCACTCCATCACTGGAAGTTTTTAAGAAGAGACTGGACAGTCACTTGTCTGAGATGGTATAGGTCCTCCTGCTTGAGTGGGGGGCTAGACTAGAAGACCTTCAAGGTTCTATTCTATTCTCTCTGTAATTCATATGCTAATATACAGCTCTCATGCATCCTTATGATAATATCCTGTGTGTGTGTGTAAAACTCAAAGTAGTGATTTTATTATATTTTCCTTCCTCTAGATTCGACAAGATGACACAAGCTCTTCTATCAATTTACTGACCAGAGTTAGTGGCATAGGGTAAATTTATGTGCATATTTAATCTTAAACTGCCAGAACGGGTATTTGGAAAAGGCAAATAATTGAAATCTAAAAAACAGGAATCAGGTTTCCTGAACAAAATAATACTAATAAAAGTAATTAAGAGCCGAGGTGGCGCAGCAGTTAGAGTGCAGTACTGCAGGCCACTTTAGCTGACTGTGTTCAGCAGGTCAGCGGTTCAAATCTCACCGGCTCAAGGTTGACTCAGCCTTCCATCCTTCCAGGGTAGGTAAAATGAGGACCCAGATTGTTGGGGGCAATGTAAATATACATTGCTTACTGGTGTACACCGCTTAGAGAGTGCTTGCACTTAAAGCGGTATATAAGTCTCATAAATAAATAAATAAATAAATTACGACTATTCTTAATAGTAGTATGCTTGGGATAACACATATTCATCATCCCACAAAAGTATATTGTTGTTGTTATTATTATTGCCCACTGAGGCACTCCTTGATATGGTTATGGGGCTTATGTGTTCTGACGAAAGTGAGAGCTTTGCCAGAGGTTCACTCATACTGGACAGGTCTCATAAGAGGTGTCAGACAAAATATCTCTTCCATAAAAAATATAATGAGACCACAGTAAATTACAGAAATTTGTAGCAGCTTAGTTGTTGAAGGTAGTATGCACAAGTGGGGCTGCGAGCACGCAAGCACCGACCCACCACTCATGCGACCCAGTTACGAATAGACCACAACCCAGTAGTGAGCCACGGCCCACAGGTTGGGAACCCCTGCCATACACTAAAATACATGCTGTAAACCTTCTCTCTCGGTTTTACTTGTTTGGTATTTCCTCAGCTCTGAATATGTCAGAACCCATTTTCCTGGTTGGGGGAGGATTTGATTCGTCCCTTTCTGGCTTCTTTCTGTGGGTTCTGTCATTCTCCTGAAGGGGAGGGAGGAGGCCCTATGGAATGCACTATTTCCTTTTTCTTTTGCTATAATGTATTCTCTCTGCTGTTTCTATCTGCTTGCTCTTTGAGCTGTTTCCCCTTGATGTCTCCCCTGGGGTGAGAAAGGAATGTGCCACCGGCCATCTGGCTTATCTCTCGCTGGGGAAGAGAAAGGTGTGAAGACTCCCTTATCAGCTCCATTCCCACAGCAGACTTAACACCTGGGGATTAGCTCATTTGAACTGACCTGATGAACTATTGGGTGGGGTTTGCTTGGGGCTCTTTTAACCTATTGATTTGAGTGGGAAGCCCTCAGATCTTGCCTTCTATGCCTGCTGTCAGCTTCTTCTAATAAAAGTTCCTTTTGGAATGAAATGGTTCCAAGAGTCCTGCTTTCTTGGGATGAGGTTTTGAAGCAGGTCCTTACAGAATAGCTTTAGTTTTCTTTGCTTCCCAAAGATTTTGAATTGCTACTATCTTATCTTTCTGAATTATTTCTACCATTTTGGTTAAGTAATCTGTCAGTTTTCTTACTCAGATGTATTAATTTGAGCTCTGCTGAGATTTTACAGTGTAAATTCTGTCCAGTTATTAATGAGTTACCTTTTTCTTTGCAGTCCTGCTGCTGCGAGGAAACTAGTAGATGAAGGTATTAAAACATTGGAAGGTGAGCCATTAAAAGTTTATTACTTGCATATCTACCTTTAGATCTGAAAATTGAGAGATTTGTTGAGCACCCTGCTGAGACAGGTTAGCAGATACCCTGCAAACAGAGTCTCCCTCACTCCCCTGTTAAAAAGAATCTTGTTGCTCAGTTAGGCTTGATTCTCCTGCATGATGATGTTATGTCAGTGTAACTGATGTATTAAAAAATTGTTTGTATGATATGTTAGGTGTTATAGTATTTTTGTTTTGTTAAAAGAATATGTTATGTGTTGATGGAATATTAAAATTAACACAGAAATCAAATTGTTCCTGCAGTAATTAAATTTCTGACACCTCTGTCTGTCTGTCTGTCTGTCTGTCTGTCTGTCTGTGTCTCTCTCTCTCTCTCTCTCTCTCTCTCTCTGACTTAAAGTTTTCAAGACAATAGATAGCTTGTTTTAGGAAAGACTTGGCTTTTCAAGAAAGCTTGTTTTTCAAGAAATACAACTGATTCCATACTCTGTTTTTTCTAGATTTAAAGAAAAATGAACATAAATTGAATCATCACCAACGCATTGGATTAAAGTAAGATCTGCTTACTTTATTCATATGGGGGAAGGGAAGACAGTGTTTTCATACCTAGGAAAGGTGCCTCATTTTTATATTATGATTGTTTTGATTCACAAGAACCTAACAGTTGACCGCAGGGTGAGAGGAGCTGAACTTGGGGAAGCAGATTATTTTCCATTTTGGTATTTTAGAGGAACAAATAGATGCATTGAAACTTACACTGTGTGTCCTTGAAAATAGACATTTCTATTCTCAAAGCAAATGCCAATACTATTGGATTATTTAAAAATTGTATCTCAGTTGTGAAAAACGTTTCTTGAGTAATCTATTAGTGGTCCTCATTATTTCTGCTCCTAATAGCAAAGAGGGCGTGGCAGGGCGTAGCAGTGGAATTTTTAGTTGCAACATTCAGTTGTTATTTAGAATGAACTGCTATAAAATTGATCTAATGTGGTGCAGTGGTTAGAATGCAGCACTGCAGGCTAACTCACTGGTTACTCCAGGAGTTCAATTCTGAGTGGCTCAAGGTTGACTCAGCCTTCCATCCTTCCAAGGTAGGTAAAATGAGGACCCAGATTGTTGGGGGCCATAGACTGTAAACTGCTCACAGAGGGCTGTAAAGCACTGTGAAGTAGTATATAAGTCTAAGTGCCATTGCTATTTCTAAACTCTGTCTAATATGCACGGTCATTTTCTTTAATGTTGATGTGCTTAAGTCCCAGGCAGCATTTGATGCCAATCTAAGCATTTCATTTCAACAGAATTTGTTTCAAAATAAATCTTGTGGATCACAGCCACAATTCATGCCTGATCCTTATTTATTTTGCATGCACAGATACTTCAAAGACTTTGAAAAAAGAATTCCTAGGAAGGAGATGCTTGAAATGCAGGTAAACAATTATAACTCCTTCCTCTGAAGACAAAAGCATATGAATTCATGAGAGATCAAATGACTTGATCTGTTTCTTCACAACAGGACGTTGTATTGAGTGAAGTGAAGAAAGTAGACCCTGCCTATATTGCTACTGTTTGTGGCAGTTTTCGCCGAGGTTGGTGTTCCATATTTTTCCTTGCCTGCCATGTGACTTTGGGACTCTATTGCTAGAATGTGGGCTAGAGGACTACATACGGGTTTCCCTTTCTTCTGAGTTCCATGCTTACCACATCTTGAGTTCCTTCCAAATAAGCAGACCTTTCATTAATGTGTCTGCAGCAGAGATCTGAGGATCATGGTGAGCAAGTTGCTGACAATTTGGCCCATCAGATAAAGCAGCAGTAAGTCCACCAACAATAAGCCCTAGCTTGATTTTTGGGGGTGGGCTAGGTTGCTTTTCTCCTTGTTAGTTTCCATCCATTGTTTCTCGTCTTGCCTTTTGGTACTTTAGAAAATAGGTTGACCCTCTTCATCTTTGTCGGAGCCCCTCAAACATTGAAACAATGCTATTATGTCTCCCTTAGTGCATCTTTTCATTAGACTAGACCTACCCAATTCCTGCAACCGTTCTTCCTGTTTTAGCCTCCAGTCCCCTAATCATTCTTGATGCTCTTTTCTGCACTCTTTCCAGAGTCTCTACATCTTTTTTATATTGTGTACTGTTTTTATATTGTAGACTATTACAGAGGCAGCAGGAAATTTGTACTTTCAGTGCTGCAAGATTGCTATTGGCCCTCCCAGGTAAACCAAAAGAAAACCTGACCGAATGAGCTAATTCTACTTTATGTAAGGCTTCATTAACAGAATTGTGCAAGTCTGAAAGTACAAATCTTCTACTGTCATTTTTAATAGCACTTCATAGATTTCTCTTAAATTGTAAACCCATTTCCAAGGCAGAACTAACTTGTGCTGTCTGGCCTTGCTTTGAAAGGTGCAGAATCCAGTGGAGATATGGATATCCTGCTGACACATCCAGACTTCACTTCAGAATCTGCCAAGAAGGTAGGTTTTCTCTTTGGATAATCCTCTTGTAATCAAGACACCAGCAATTATTGAAATCCAAGGGTTCTTTTCTGTTCCCAGGAAATCCAAGAAACTACCTGAAAGATGGCAAATTACTTTGGGATTAATCTCTTTAAAAATATTGCCATTTCATTCTCAGCCAGATTTTTCATGACTATATCAAAGGTTATGGACGTAGTATTTGAATAAAAGGAAGATACAATTTCCTGTGCAGGGACTGAAACCATTCCTAAACTTTTCTGAGGTCCAGATGAGGCACCAGGATAGCATTCTCAAGCAGTTTGATTCTCTTCCTGATTGTGACACGGTTGTTTCTTTTCAAGCCAAAGCTTTTGCATCAAGTTGTGGAGCAGCTGGAAAGCATTTGCTTTGTTACAGACACACTCTCAAAGGGAGAAACCAAATTCATGGTGAGTCTTCTTTTTTTCCTAAACAAATATTTTATGTGTCTTAAAAAGTCCTGCTTCTCGGGGGAATATTATGGCCTCCCTGAGGGCTGGTCTGTGATCCTCTTCTGACCACAGGTGGTTTCATGACCACCTTCCCTCAGACTTCCTCACCTTCGTGCCCTATGGCCAACCTGGTTGAGATGCTTTGCCACGGTTGGCAATGTTGCCTGGGAACTTGGGAAGATGCCAACCCAACATAAGTAAAATGGGTCAGATTGCAGAATACTGAACTGGGCAAATGATTCAGAAAAGCCCAGAACTGTCTCATCTATTCCATTCTCTGTATATTCTATTGTATTATTCTGCTCTGTTCTTTTCTGTTCTGCTCCGTTCAGTTCTGTTCTATCTATAGTATTAGAATTGAGAGAAAAAAACTCAGGTTAACTCAGAAGGACTTTCAGATAGGTTTTCAGCTTCAGAAGAATTTTGGCTTTGTTCAATAGAAGGGTGTTAAGGTGGAGACATTTTTGCTGTGGTTTTTTGTTTGTTTGTTTTTTGCTAAAAAGCTATTTGGAAAAAGATGAAAAAAATGTGGTACTCTTTACATGCCCTCCAATTTTACCTTATGTCACGACTGACCTCTGATTCTCATTGCCTTGTTTTATTGAGCATTCCTAAAGTTGACTTTACATTTAACATGATCTGAATTCTGTATTTTTCATGGACATCGAGCACATATTCTGAGATTGCTTCTTTTGCAAACATAGGCAATAGTGCTAATGTTAATAGGCACAAGGGATGTTGTCTGCAGAGGTCCAAAAGGATCTCTTAAGAGCCAAAGGCCAGATATCCGGCTTTGAATATTATTATTGTTGTTGTTATTGTCGTTATTGTTGTTGTCGTCATTGTCATCATCATCATCATCCATCTGGTCCTGGTGATTTGAACTTGTCTATAATGGATTGGTGTTCTCTTACAGATAGTGGTTAATTGAATCAATATCCAATTGATTGATTTATGGAAGAATGCTCTAAAAGAATTATAAAATTTGACAAGTTTTTTGCTTTTCTATATTTCTTATTTAATCAGTTGCCATATTGGAAAGAAGTACGGTAGACCTGCAATCATTTTTTCTTGTTCTTCTGGTTCTAGGGTGTATGTCAACTCCCAAGTAGAGATGATGACATCATCTATCCATACAGGAGAATTGATATCAGGTAAATCAGAAGATGAGATTAAAAATCCAGCAGTATTTAAAGGGAAGTTGTAGAGTCCATGCTTAGCCAACTTACTAGGAACAATGAAAAAACAAAAGGAAAAGTCATAGATGTGTAACTCCATGTATCCATAGAACTCAAGCTGAACCACTGTGCAACTAGTAAGCAAGATTAGCAGAGTAGTTGAAAGAACTCAGCAACCTGGATCAACCACAACCACACCTTGTGGCTTTCTGTTTTTGCTTCCCAGCAGCTGCTGCCATGTGGGGCTTAGATTCTGAATGTCTTTGATAAACAGGGACTTAGTCTGACTCAGACAGTGATACAGGATCTCTGTGGAAAGTAGGGAGAAATCTTCCTTGGAGCTTAGAAGGTTTCCTTCCATAAGTTCTCAACTTAAGACATTAATTCAGCCACCATTCGAAATTACAACGGTGCTTGAATGAATAGTGGTTACAACTGTAAACCCCCCCCCCAGAGTTCTGCCTCTCCCCCTGGTCATGTGATTACCGTTTGTGATGTTTGCTGCTGGCTTCCCAAAAAGTAAATGGGGAACTTGGCAGGAAAGGTCACAAGTCTCTAGGGTAAGTCTCCCCCAGCCACACTCCCACGCTCGGCCCTTCAGTGCTTGCGCCCTCCCAGCTGCACACTGCTGCACACCCGCCTTAAGTCCAGCCTTGCCTCCTCTGCCACTTGGGCATCAGCATGCACCCTCCCAAGCTTTGTGGGTGCCTCCTTCACACTCTTGTGCACTTTCACCAAGCTTGCCACACCTGTGTATCTTCACATACACACCTTGCACCCTCACGCACCCTCCCTGCTCCATCCTCCAACACACTCCCCAAGCCTCACTGTGCTTCCCTTGCATCTCGCATTGTAACCACTGCAGCTACTAATGTTGTAATTTGAGGACTACCTGCACTGCCAGGCCAGCAGTGCCAGTGCCTCTCTTGACTGTCTCATAGGCTGATTCCCAAGGACCAGTATTACTGTGGAGTCCTCTACTTCACTGGAAGTGACCTCTTCAATAAAAACATGCGAGCCCACGCCTTGGAAATGGGCTTCACCCTCAACGAGTACACGATCCGGCCTCTCGGCGTCACTGGTAAGTACTCTTCCTTGTCCTCTCGGAGAGCTGGCTGACAAAGAGCTTTTTTGCCTGAGTGTAATGCCACAAATCCCAAATTTTGTTCAAGCAAAGCCATGTTGTATTGTCTAGTCCTCATCAGTTTAGGACGAGGAAAACGCTTTCTTGTGTCAACAAGAAGGAATGCTTTGGTTGATGGGCGTTTGTTAACACTGCTAATAGCCGTCCAATCTTTTTGTTCTCTTTTGCCGGTTTCTGTCCTTCTCCCTATAATGGTTGGCAAAAGGTCTGAAGGGTCTCTCCTCTAGAAGGAAGCAGAAGCTGGCACTGTCAGGCCTGGCCAAGTGGAAGTTGTTTCCACAAAGCAACGCTGCCTATGCATCGGAGGCCTCCTCTTCCTCTTCTTCACTTAACAGGCCTTCTGGCCGGGGAATTGGGCCTCTCTCGCTAGGGTGATAACCAGGTGGAACTCTCTGGCTCTGAATTGGCAGGAGTTGCGGGGGAGCCACTCCCTGTGGACAGCGAGAAGGACATCTTTGACTACCTCCAGTGGCAGTACCGGGAGCCGAAAGAGCGGAGTGAATAGCCACCAGGCCCTGGAAGGTGCTTTCCGAAGCAGAGCTGGAAGCTGTCCTGGGATTAGACTTGACTGCTGTCCTGTCCTGGAAAATCTGTGGCAGGGAGAGGAGGGGGAAGCAACGGGTTTTTAAAACCTGCTTCAAGCGTGCAAACCAAGCGTGCAAATCAAGCATTTGCCATAACCAATAAACATGAAACATTACTTTGGCTTGATTTAAAAAAGAAATTCAACCTTATCTTCCTTTAAAGTTACGATGTTTCTAATTTCCTGAAATAATTAGTAGCAAATGAGGAGGTAAAATCCTGTCGTGAGAGTTGGCTGATTCCTCAAAAGCTGTCCTTGTCTCGGGAAGTTGGGGCGATTCTGCCCACAAGAACTCTCCTGGACAAGAATTTTATTCATGCTCAAACTTTCCTTCACCAAGGAGAGCCAGTGTTGAGACTGTAGGAACCATGTCGAGGACGTTACAAAACCTTTTTATTTTATTTTATTTTAAGCAGGTATTTCTAGTGCTTATTCCTGTTCCAATTGCAGCAGATCAAAAATAGTTTAAACGAAGGAATAACCGTTGAAAAATATGGATTTGTTTACTTTTTTCTCTCGGAAGAGAGCTGTTGTTTCAAGAAAATTGTGTTTCCAGTATTTTGCAGAAGACTTCACTAGAAAGCATCGAAAACCCTGTAAAATCTTCTAGATTTCCACTTCAGTTGAAAGGTACCAAGCCGCTTACTCATAGGGAGGAGCTCCAAGCCAAGCATTCTCGCCTCAGGCACGTGCACTTCATGCCACTCTGAGGTGACAAGAGAATGCAGAGCTCAGTAGATCTTTGAAGTTACATTTGAGATGTGAAAAGTTTCACATTATGCACAGCAGCAGCAGCATCCAGCCACAGAACTGAATCAGGTGAGGGGCTTAGTCCAGTCAAGTTGTAAGGGAACAGGTGGCGGTTCAAAGAAATGAGAAGCATGCTTTTAGAAGCCTACATGTTAGAAATGCTCCAATGCTATTTTGGAGGTTTGTTTAGACACACACAAAGCAAATATTTTAACTGGACATTATTTCACAAGTACTCTAGAATTAACTGTTATACTTTTTGAGCACCTATCGACTGCAGTGTTCAGTATTCCTCTCCAGTCTGTGAGCAGCAGAACACAGCTCACCTTCATTCCCAATTCTGCCTTAGCAGCCAGGGAGACTCGGGAATCTGTCCCCAAGAGACAGAAACTTTAGATGCAGTAGAAGACCCCTTCCCTTAATAGGAGGAGGGGGTCTTCTATTGCAGGGAACAGGTCACCTGCCAGTTTTGATCCTGGGAAAGGGCTCTGCCCAAGAGATCCATCTTCCCTGTGCTCCTGCTGCTGCTCCCCCAGAGAGGGGTGAAAGAGTATCTTTAGCTGTTCTCCCGTGAGCTGGGCATTTCAGCACCCAATCTGTGGTGGGCAGGTACATGTTCTGACATGTTTGGATGTGCATGCAAGAATCTTCCGGACCACCCTGGAAATGTGTCAGAAATACATCTACACAATCCTACAAATTGGGCACTAGCATGGTGGTTTTGGGTGGGAGCTAGAGAGGCCCTGCCTTTCCCCCTTTCCATAAAACATCTTCCTGGGATAAAAGGTAGGGCAGCTGCTCACAGACAGACACCTGCCATTCCTCCAACCTCCGATGGCTGTTGGGCCCAGAAGGAGAGCTCTGATCTCTCCCTGCCCACAGAAGCAGAGTGAGCTTGCAGCGGCCTCAGTCATCAGAGCAGAGCAGATTCCCACAAAGGCTGCTGTCACAGTGGTCCAGCAATAAGTTCTCTAGGAAATGGCTGGCAAGCATATTTCTGCTAAAGCAGTGAGCCCCGGAGGCCTATTACTATTGATACCATCTTTGTTTTTATTTCTATTTGCAGGTCTTTGTATTTTGACTTCTCCAGTTCTTCCTGTTCTATTCTGCTGTCCCCAGGCACTGCCACGTCCATTATCCAGACCTTTTCTTTGACTTTCTTATTGACAGTTGTTAAGTCAGGGCTGTTACGTGTCAGCTACCTGTCTGTTTGAATTCTAAAGTCCCAAAGCATTGTAGCGTCTTCATTTTCTATTGCTCTGACTATTTTGTGGTCCCATCAGTTCTTGTTTGCAAGCAGATGGTATTTCTTGCAGATATTCCAGTGCACCATTGTTATTACTTTGTCATGCATTGTCTGTAGTCAGTCTGCAATCTTATTGCAGCAGCTACTGTTACCAGGTAGTCTAATGTTTCTTCAGCTTCTTTGCAGTGGAAGCATTTCTCTTCTTAGTTCTAGCTTTGTGTGCATTTGTTGTTCTAAGGCTTGGTCTTCTTTGGCCAGAATAAGCCCCTCTGTATCTTTCTTCAGTGTTCCTGCTCTTAGCCATTGCCAGGTTGTTATCTGCTTTGCCTGCTATATTTTTAAAGTAGTGGCCATGTAATATTTTGTCTTCCTGTGTCTCTTTTCTGTTCATTTGGTTTTTCTTGTAGGCCAATTTTGTCTTTCCAGTACTCAGTAGGCCTTTCTGCTATACTAGCTTCAGTGCATCTTCTTCTTTGTCCTTCAGATATTCTTCCAGTGTCCTTTTTTTCTTTAACTGCCTGATGTACTTGCAACATTCCATGCCACCCATTTTCCTTGATAAGTAGAGTCTATCAACATCGTTGTATGAATGTAGGTCATGATTCATTGTCATTATTTTTCTGGCCTTCCTGTCCAGGGCTTTTGATTTGTTAATGTAGCCTTATAATAGCCTTACAATAAAGTAGATTTAGCTCATCAAATTCTGTCTCCTGTCTGGTTTAGGTTTACCTGGGAGGCTGATATAATCTTGCAAGTCTGAAGATACAAACTTGCTGCCTTTAACATCGAGTTTTTTAACAGTCAAATCAGTTAAGTTAGGCCCTTCTTAAGTTTCTTTCTCTGACCCCCTGGGAACTCCTCTGTCTTGCTTGTCTGATTATTCCTTAGGCAGCATATCGTTTCCTCCTCTGCCAAGGTCATCCACACATTCCATTAGACATGCTCTTTCTGAATGCATCTCTTATCCTTTGTTCTACCTTTATTTAAACAAATGATTTCTCTTTTTGAAGCAGCTGACAAGTGTTGCTTGATGCAATGAGAGAGCGCTTCCCCACTTCACCTTGCATCTCTCACCCCCATATCTACCAGACTGTTTTTTTCAGGATACATCTAAGCACAGGTTTAGTGCTATTCCAAAATGACATTAACCTTATGTCTAAAAGCAGAATACGTATGCAAACCTAGAACTTTTTCCCAGCCCCAATTCCCACGTTACGAAGATTGGTTGGTGCATGTACCTGCCCCCCCCCCCCACCCCTCATCAGATGACTGATACAGTATGGGAAACAAAATAAAGCCTCTACCCATGCTTTAACTTATCCCATAGTATTTACATCTGCAAAGGCGCTCTCCTTTATCTGCTGCACCCCTGAAATAGCCTGGGGCTTGGCGATTGGAATAATCAAATTTGTATCATCCTATTCTTCAGTGGGTTCGAGTACTGGAGGAAAGCTCATGAACAGAGCGGCGAGGAAGAACCCAGTGTTTGATAAGAGTGATCCCACCTTCCGTTCCATTACAGGTGAAGTTACGTGGTCAGCATAAATGTAAATCGGGTAACACTTTTCTGCTGCTTGAGTGAACGAGGGTGGGTGAAACGGCGGTTCGGGTAATCCTTATGGCCACTGTGGAGCCAGAATTTCAGTTGGAAGTCATTGGGGTTGAAAGTCAAGGCATCACATGACTAGACTCAATTTTGTGCCCGTTTTTATGATGGTCATAAAGTGAATCACATGGTTGCTAAACAAATCCATTCTTCCAAATGGCTTTTTTTGGCAAAATGGTCATAAATCATGGTCATGTGACTGTAGGATATGGCAACCCATCATAACTGAGCCAGTTGCCAAGCACCCGAAATGCAGTCACATGACTGAGGAGGGCAGCAGTCGTAACATTAATGCCAGGTTGCAGGTAACTAGAGATCCATTGTAGCTTTGACTGGATGTAAGCCAAGGATTACTTGTAGAAACATTCGCTGTACATTATTGCCAAGAATCGAAGCTGTGGCCGCTTCCTTTCCTCGTTAGCATTTGAGGGAGTTGTATTTTAAGGAAAAAGTCTGATCCCAGCAGAAGAGATCGCAGCCTTCACCAACCCTTGCATTTATTCTGGCTAGTTTAGACATAAGAAAAGGGGGTTGCTCAGAAGAATTATTTCTTTTAAAAAACAGTCTTGCCCCTGCTTGCCCATTTTGCACCTCTTCAGTTTCATTTCTCACAGATCTCGAAAGCCGCTGGCAGAAGGGGGGGTAGGGGACTGGGGGGGGGAGAGACAGAGGGGGCAGCTTCATCTCCCAGGCCAAAAAGCACTTTTGCAGAGGAGAGGCTGCAGAGGGGAGGGCTGGCCCTCCGCTGGTGAAGTGGACAGCAAAGGGTCAGCAGAGAGAGAGAGAGTGACGACCTCATTTGGCTCAGCTCCACACCAGCCTTCCCTGGAGCACTCCCAAGTTATTGAGGGGGGGGGAGCAGCTTCTTCTGTTGCATTAGGCCAGGGGTACCCAATCCCCAGGCCATAGCCCGGTACTGCACCGCGGCCTGTTGAGAACAGCAGTGCAAGCACTCGCGCCATGTGTAGCTCCAGATGTGTGAGTGGGGGTGCACCCGCTGCTTGCACAAATGGGGCTTGACGCATGGGCACGAGTGCCCACCGCTTGCACAAATGGAGCTGTGCATGCATGAGTGCCTACCATTCACATGGAACCATTTCCTCTCTTCCCCCTCCCCCCACTGGTCCACAAAGCCGGGAAGGTTGGGGACCCCTGCATAAGTCAACAAGGTTGAAAGAACCAGAAGGGAAGGACTTCTGTTTATGTTTGGCCCAAAAGAGACGCCGGGAGAGAGGCTCTTGCTCAGATCTAGGCAGCTTTAGCAACATTAATATCAGCAGGTCTGGCATAAAAAGAGCATTTCTGAAGGAATTGTGGCTCTCCTTTCGCTGTCTTTTTTCCATTCTTGGCATGCAGGGTGCAAAAGCCAAGGATTGACTGGCTTCCTGCCTCCAGCCTCATCTCCCACTGCAGCCCTACCAAAATTAATGCATTTTCCCCACCAGCTGCTGATACTTAAAAGGGGGGCAAGCAGGAAGACGGAGGAATCTATTGATGGCTTTACTTACTGTAATTAGGACACTCCCCCCCCCCCCACACACACACTCCAGAGATAAGCCAGGTCAGAGATAGGAGCAGAAATGGGGGCAGCAAAGTTCATGCTAGTTAATCTTCTGCCAGCTCAAGTATGGGTAACTGGGTGATGAGCCAGGTCCTAAGGGGCACAATGTCTGTAACGCTGGGTGCGCAGCCAGCCAACCCTTGTGGACTGGTCCATGGGTGCTTTGCTTCTGCCGTCTTCCAGGCTCAGACTCTCCTTAGCTGCTGCGGCAGACACGCAGACGAGCTCTCTGTGGGGCACCCTGGAGGGGCCGTTGACAAACCAGACCGGATGCACAACCGCAGCGCTGGAAGATCTCAGGGCCTGGCGCCCCACCATCCTTCTGCCCTCGCCCGGAACACACGGCCCCTTCGAGGAGAACAGGTTTGCAGATCTTGGCCCAGAAGTGGCGGGCACAGCAGTGCCCTTGGGCGCAGTCGGAGGTGCGGAGGCAGCGCTCTCCCGTGCCAGCTGTGAGAGGCAAACAGTGATCAGCTCTTTCAGAAGCAAACCCTGGTTCTGGAGGCTGCATTGCTGGGTGACAGTGAGGTTGAATGGCGCCAGAGGCAGATACAGCTGGGTGACGTCCGGAGACCAGCCACTTCATCGGGCAGCCAGTCCCTCCTTGCAGGTGGCACGGCAACCGTGCCTCCCTCCCGCACTCTGTTTTAAGAGCAGTGGTGAGCTAAACTCAGACCAAGCGGTTACCACGTGACATGGACTAGTCTACCTCACAGGGCAGCGGTTGAGAAAGGAAAGCTGGGTTTCCCCATCGCAGCTCCTAGAAGACCACCACCACGCTGGTAGCATTCACTGTCCCACCATCTGGCCTGGGCCCTCCTCGTAGAGGTGGCAAGGGCCACTCCTACTGAACCAACCTTTGGACGCATGCCTTGGGGGGCTGCCGGTGTTCCCCACCAGCTCTCCACGGCCAAAGAATAGTTCTGCATCACGTGAGGAAAAGGGCCATCTACCCACCAGGGATTTCCACCCCCTGCAGTGCATCATTTCTTTCCCTGCAGGAAAGACTGGCGATGTTGCCACGGCAAACCCTCCTTTGCTTTCTCCTAGAAGAGGGTCAGCCACATTTGGGAGTGTGGAGGTTGCAGCTCTGCCTCTCCACCTCTCAGGGGGCCAAAGGTGAAGATGTTTCTGGAAAGAATGAGGTAAACTCACTTTTTGTCTATTTCTGAAGTTTAAAGGTAGTCCCTGCGACACAGACAGTTGGAATCAACTGTGTTCCAAGTCTAGAGAGAACATCTTGGGGGGGGGGGGTTCTGCTCTTATGCCACCATTCCAGTCTTGAAGAAACATTTTAAGGAACCAAAATGGTTCTATCCTGGCTGAACCTGGCTGATTTCCAGAAGCAAGCAACATATTTGGATGATCCCAGGCCATTTGGGGCACCACCTGGAAATGTAAAGCAAGGATTCCCCCAGATCTCAGCCAATGAAGTTCCCAGTAGCTGAGAGCTTCAATTAACCTCTCTAACAGTAGCCAAGGAAGGAAATATTTCTTTAAGATGGAATTCGGAGGAAGGAAAAGCCTTTACTTGTTTGGATGTGTATTGGCCTGGCCAGGATAAGAGGGCAAGATGGGCCAATTCTGACATTGCCTAGAAAGACTTCTTTCAAACGAGGTTTGGCTTATTTCCCATCTCAAACCACACAGCTTACTCCACAACTTGATGGAAGGTGGGTCTGGCAATGGCCCAACAGAGAGTGGGTCCAGACCAGCCCTGGGATTGCTGGCAGTCCAGTCCCTAGCATGAGCCATGACGGAAACCCTGCTTGTCTTCTCTCTTTCATCCCACTTTCTGGAATGCAGACAAACTGCTCAGATGGGCACCCATCCCAATATTAGTTGTCCCTTGAAAACCTGGAGACTGTTTGAGGGACAGACGGCTGGTGCACACAGGCTGCTCCAGGGGAGGAGGGGGGCCACCTAGGGGGATCCTTTGGTTGTGCCTGTTCTGGGTCTACCCAAACTGGGTTGCCAAACTCCAGACATTCTCAGCTGGCAGGGAAGAGTTATGGTTTTCTGCCCCACGGCAGTCACCTGGGCAAATCGCCTGGAGGCTTGCCTGCTGCCCTGCCTGCCTGTCACCCGGCCCTGCCCAGCATCCTAGCAACAACTACGGTTGCTCCTGGGCCCTGCCTGCCTGTGACAGACCATGATCCAGTGTAGGTTTTTAAGGAATGAAGGTCCGGCTAGGTCCCCTGTGTCTGTGGGCCCCAAAGTGGACAGTTACCCTGCCATGACTACATCTAGGGCATTGCACGCTTTCCCCCCGAAGAGGGAAATATAGATGGGGCAGCCCAAATTTCATCCTCACAACCCCGTGAGGTAGATTGGGATGGGAGTGGCTGGCCCTCAGCTCACCCAGTGGCCTCTTGAAACTGACCTCTTCCCATCTAATCCTTCATCTTAATCAATAAGCCGCATTGCTGGTGTATAGCTTTGTGGACATGCCCTAGTTCAACTAATCATGGCTTGGTGTGTTATCTGACTCGAGCCCTGCTATTGCCACCACAAGAGCAGACCACACTGCGCCCCACAAGCGAAGGGGATCGGCTCCTGTCACACTGAGATTTAATGCAATGGGGCCACATATTCCTCATTGCCAAATTATTCATTACCCCTCCCCCAACTTGGACTTACTGTAACTGAATTGTTTTAGGTTGAGAAATTCTAAAATTCTCTCCATAAATGATTGATCTTTAAAGAATATGCTATTCTTACGGCTTCTTTCTTTGCTGGGGATGAAGAGCCCTCGGGTGCTTGCGGGAGACTCCTGCTCCCTCTCTTACCTGGGCTCCGTGTCCTCGGCCGAGCTCCCTCCTTCCGGACATGCCCGGCTTGAGCTGGACGTGCCCGTCGTTCCTTGGCACTCAAGTCAATCTGTCGCCCGTCTCTCTGCTCCTCAGCCACCTGGGCACACACATCTGGCATCCAACAGAGGAAGCTCAGGTTACAATTGTCCCCAGCTACCTGGCCCTCCTGCCCCATCCAGCTGGGCACTGGACAGGGGGGGGGAACAAGGGAGGGTAACAGGTGGGTTGGGATCACAGGTGGGCCCTGCGTGAGAGATCAGACTTTGCCCAGATAAGAAAGCAAGTGGGTGCTGCCCCCGCCTCCTAGCCCAGTCCGGTCTCCCCCCTCTAAGCCTTGAGGAGGGCTCCTGGAGGGGCTGCGGGGGCTAAAACTCACCGTTGATGCAGGTCATCCCCGGGCAACACATCCCCTTTCCATGGCATCTTCTTCGTAAACCTTGGCAGGGAGCACAGAAGGGAAGTTGTTCCTCTTGGGGCTTGTAACAATATTTCCCCAAACGACAATCTTTGTCTGTCAAGCATTGTGTGCTCTGTAGAAAGGAGGGAGGGAGGGAGAATTGTTAGAAGATGGGGGGGGGAGAGAACCAGAAGGAAACAAGATTCAGAGGTGCAAAATCTTAGTCCAAGACCTTTGCCAGGAAGGGGGGGAGGGTGTGTTAGTCTAAATTGGGCTATGCGTTACAGACCAGGGAATCCAAGCTGTTAGCTAGTGGAAGGGTGCTCGTTAGAAATAGCACCCTGGAATCCCTTCCTAAGTAATGCAGACCCTTTCTGCCTGAGGTGGCCCTGGGAAGGGGACGGAAGCTCTTTATCCTAATAAATCCTCTGCAGAGTCCCAGAGCAGGAAGGGCTGGGGGCAGCCTCTTAAATTCCCCCCCATGTTTTAAATGGTGTCCAGGTTAGCTCAAACAGACATGCCCCCACCATGTTTTGGTTGCCTCCCCCCCTGGACTCCTTAAGCAAGAGGGAGGGACTTTTGCCATATTCAGCAAGATATCCTAAACCAGACAAGTGGTTTGTCCCCAGGCTGAACTCCCCATCACTCACAGTGTTCGCTTGGGAACTCCTATTTTAGCTTCCGGAGAACAGCTGGATAATTCCCTAAGCAAGACCCCCACCAAATAGAAAGGGGGGGAAGAAATGAAGGAAGCTGTATATGAGCAAATCCCTGGCCCAAAAGTCAGGTCCCGAGTGCAAATTCATAACAATACGCAATGTGTTACATGCATTTCAGACTCAGAAGTCATCCGTGAGACACTCAGTGGTACCAGGATCTAGCCTAAATAAGACTTCTGCTAAGTACAGTCTCTTCGTCTGAAGCATTCTTTGCAAATAGCTGCCCCATGACCTCTCACCTTCCTGGGAGTGGACACTTCAGATGAGCCCCTGATGGTATTGAAGTCAAGAACCAGAGCAGTCAAAGGGGAGCAGAGGCAAGTGAGCCCCAAAAGGAAGGTAGCCTCCATCTTCTGCCCTGCAGGACTTTGATGGTCCCTGGAGATGTCGCCGAAGCTCCTTGTAGACCTTAGTTTCCAGGGCTAAAATATCACTCAATGATACATTTATTGAGCATTTGGGCCACCTGCGCAACGGCTGTCAGAGTGATGCTCTGCTTATAAGAGACTAAGGAGTTAACCTGCCTCTAAGGCCATTTCCACCACCTTATTTATAGTGGCCTGCTTCACTTTTTCTTCCTCTTTGGACCCCCCAGTCTCTGAAAATCCCTTTGATCACTACTTCAAAACAAACATTCAAAGGGATCTAGGAGGGAAGCGGGCCAGCAGGGGCCAGCTCCTCCTCTCGCCAACAATTCCTAATTACAGCATATCAAAGTCAGTTCAAAGGGCCAGAAAGAGAGACGGATGTAGGTATCAAAGGCACCTGTTGGTAATCACCTGAATTTCCTGGTCTTTGTAATCCCTTGCAAGAGTGGTTTTGTTCTGAGATCTGCTTTCACAGCTGACAGATGGTTCACTTGACCACACTGTGGTGGGAAGGAAGTGAGCGGGGCAACATGGGGCATTTTCAGCTTTAAGCAGCTGCCCAGAAACACCTGCTGCAGCCAGGCGGGTCCCACTTTGAAGGAAGCCCTCTTTCCCCCCTGGCCACAAATGCCGCTATTGTTCTCAAGAATTAAGAAGACACTTCCTGGATCTTTCAGGTCTTAATACCAGCCAAATCCTACATGACATAGAAAGACTTTATATCACAAACTGAAACAAAACCATTTGACCAACAAAATGGTGAACTGTCTCTTGCTCTAAGCTCGCCCAGACTGGGCCACAAGTGGTCGCCGTCTGCTCCCTCAACATCCAAAATAAGTCAGTGGGGAAGGACCCACTGTTACCTTCCTATCCTATTCCAGTCTGAACAATCGGATCTCCATTCAGCCAAGGCATGTCTTTCTTGAAAGCCATTTCCTTGGTGGGTAGGGGGGGTCTGCAGATCAATCAAACTGCTTCTTGCTGTTCTCCTCAAGGGAGCTTTTGTTTTTTCATCATTTGGTTGATGTTCTGCCCCCCTTGGCCTCGGTGTCACTTCAGGCCATCTAAACTAACCCTATGTGTATTAACCCAATGACTAATCTACATCATTGCTTTTTAAATCCTAAAATCCTACTAATTCAAAGAGACCAGACATTCTGAGTTCCTTCTCTGTTAAGGAGATGTTTTTAGCTTGTAATTCTTTTTTATTGCAATTGACCCATTCTTTCGTCCTCTCATCTGTGCTTCCACTATCACCATAAGTTGAATGTCTTCAGCTTGAACTCACTGCAAACAGATTGAGAAGCATCAGGCTCCAAAGAAGCATTTTCACCATGCACCTAACATCAAAGTGGTTCCCAAAACATCAGACCGGGATGCTATTGGACACTGAAAATCTGGTCAAGGTGGGAGAGTCACAGAAAGAGAAAAACTTGTAACTTCTGCGTGGGAATACTCAGATCTACTTTCACTTTTGCTGCAACCACTAATCCTTAGTAAAAGAACCTATCACTTCAACCAAATGGAGTCGAGGGTCTTTCTTTCCTAAGGATCTACCTGGGGCAGGTCTAACATTAGGCTAGATCTGCAATAATGGTCAATCTGGAGACGTATTTTGATCTGGGGAACTGTACAAGGAATGTCGGCTCACGAAAGCAACCAAGAGGAGATCAAGGCATGGGGGGACTCTGCAGCTAAATCCCATGGCGGAGGGGAATGGAGCTATGCGCATGTGCTCACCTGCTGCTTGCACAGCCCAGTTCTGAACAGGCTGTAGCCCAAGGATTAGGGACCCCTGGTCTATTAGATATGTTTACCAGCTTGAGATGTTTGAAAATAAAGGTGGGATGTAAATAAATACAGTAAGCATTTAAAATAGCCTGAGAGCTGACTGAAATAAGTCCTGTTCACCTCTAAATGTTCTTTGTTATTGGGATGGAAGGACTTGCTGGAGAGGTGCTCCAGAATATTAAATTACATGTAAACCAGCATCAGCATCCTTGCCTTCCTCATAGAAGTTCATTAGAAGCTTCAAATGGAGTTAAAGGTTTGAATTCCCAACACTGAAGCTAAAAAGACGAAAGCTGAAATGCCAGTCTTTGGAGAGAAGGGTGATGATCAGCAAGAACTATGCTTCCAGACTTACATTTAAAACACATAAAATAGATGTGATATCACCAGTATATATATTTGTAATCATTGCACCTGTACTGGGAAGAAAAATGCATTCAGTCCAGAGTTTAAATTTGGTTTATGTATGACAAGATGTTGCATATTGTGCACTCTATTTGGCAATGCTACCATGCATCCTTGGTATTTTTCCTTATAAAGCACATCTGGCAGCCCGTTTTTTAAAGAGGTGCTTAAAGGGATGATACTGGGCAAATCACTTTTCCCATGTATGACCAACTAATGATTTTTAAATAGTCTCAAGAATCTGACACTGATAGTAGCATTCCATAATGCCATCTCCCCATCTTCTTTCTGTGCGAAAAGACACTACTAGTATCAAATGCAGATGTGTCAGGCTTAATGGCAAGATCTTCTGATAGACAGTTGGTTTGGTGGTTTGTTTGAAGACTTATAACCAGTTTAAGCTTGTCAGATACACAACACAGCACAGCTGCTCAACATCTTTACCTGTATACTAGGAAGAAGTCAAATAATTGGTTACTCTGCAACAGGAAGGTGCCGCTGGTTGTTGACATGATGGCATCTCTCCCCAAGTCACCCTGGCTAGACTGCTAAGACAAGTCCTATAGAATAAGACTTGGGACATGCTTTAATGTTTTGGTTTCAGATGGACACAGGGACTCCTCTTAACTGCTTGTCAACAAATGTAAGCAGGCTCTGGCAACCTCATTTTTTCCTGGCATGTCCTCATGATGCTTGTTTTATCTCATTCTCAGCCATCTCCTCCTCTGCTTTGAAAGAAATGAGCTTCTGCTCCTAAACACAAGTTTGCCTTACTGACAGCTGACGGGAGATACGATTAGTTCCTGCAGGTCGTTTTAGGCTACTGCGAGGCATCCCACCCCCTTTCTGGTCACTGATCACCATACCCCATTTTGGCTTGCATTGCAGGAGAGAGTGGAGACTGATTTCCACCACCCACCTCATGCCAGACAGCACTTTCTGAAAACTATTCTTTTGAAAGACCACCAAACTGGGTTTTACAAATGGGTTTAGCTATTAAATGAGTGTAGTCCTTTGCTATTCAATTGTCTTAACATCTGCCCAGTTTAGCCCACAGAATTCCCAGAGAGAGGAATGGTCCAAGGTACCTTCTTGGGGCCTCACCGTTAGTGATCTTGCTACTAAGCCCTCTGGTTTTGACTGCCTTGCTCTGTCCTGACAAAACTTAACAGAATTAGGTGTGACGCTGGAAGACCCTGTATCAGTGGGGATGGATTATTGTGATTGTGGTGCTGATACGCAATTAAACATATTGTGCAAGATTGCTCACGACCTGCGTTCTCTGGTTCTTTAGATCTCCACGAAGCAACACCAGAGGCATCGCCTGGACAGCTGTATCAGACATCCAGTTAGGCGGCCATTGCCATACCCAGGTAAACATTTTGTATATAATTATGTGGATTGTGTGTATGTGCTTACTTCTGTCGTGTTCTCATCATATGCTAAATAAATACATTCTTTACTGAAAGGTTGGTTTAAAAGGGGGGGGAGAAAGACCCAGCACCAAGCCCTCAGCAGCTGGTTAAAGTTAAACAGTTGGTTTCTCACCATCTTTTTAACTAGATTTATTGAAAGGGAAGGGCCATTCAGCTACAGAAATCGTGGCAACTGGATGTTTTTATTTTAGGACCAAATTTCTTCCCAATTCTTGTGCTGGTACTGAAGAAATCACAAGAGGTGTCACAGCTGATTTCAGGTTTCCTCCTTAGACGCGAGTGAAACACACAAGTGCTGGGGGAGAGGAGAGAGGGAAACACCCGTTCATCTTCAGGGTCCTAGGCCACGGTCAACCTGGAGGTCAAGCCAGGCTCTGCTTCTGGGAAGAATCGCTCGTCACTGTCCTTGTTAAACAGGGGTGCCCAGAATCAGGCAATGGCCTCCGGGGGGGGGGGGGGGGGCTGACTAGGGCAGAGCAAAGGATGACGGTGCCCATACTCTGGACTCTATGCCTCTATTCATGCATTCCTAGATGATAGCATTTGCCTCTGTGGCAAGTACATCGCATTGCTGACTCACATTTTAGCCACCTTAACTTCCCTGAATGTTTTTGTCAATCTCTCCAGAAGATTAAATCATTTTCATTCAGCTCTATGGGGTAGAGTCAAGGCTCAGTAACCTGGGCCTTTCTAAGTGCCTCCTCTTTCAGTTTTATGTTATTTTTAAAAGAGTGTATTTTGATGCTTTTGTTTTATTTTAATTTTTAGTTAAAGTAAGTATACTAGGCTTTTTACCAGACCTGCTAGACTTTTATTAAATGTAATAATTTCCTAATTGACCACTGTCTCCTAGCTTTATAGGATAAGGGTTGCCATTTGCTATAGTGGATATAAAAATGCCAGGTTTTTGATATGTAAAAAAAATCAGACCAAGATAAATCACTTCAGAATTTTCCCATGTTTAATGTAACATATAAGCTATTCAATTCAATTAAAAACTGGCATTTTAACAGGGCTGCGTAGACTTCTTATATCCACTGTATATATGGTAAGAGCAGCTTACTTAAAGGCCTGCTACAGACATTTCTGTCCATGAAGAAGAATCAAAGTTGCCAGGAGACATGAATGGAGGAAGAGAAGGCAAAGGAAAGATGGCACCATCAGATGCTGGTGGCCAATGATTTCTTACAGCCTGAAGACTCAGCTAATGACAGAAACATTGACTTGCACAGTTTAGATATCAAAAACACAGAGACTTTTGCACAATATAATTTTTAATTTAAAAAATGAGACTCATTTTGTCTTAATCACATGAAATGTAGCCAGCCCTTTTCCTTGTAAAACTCTAAAGAAACTGGGAATGTCTATGGGTTTATGTTGCAAGTACGGAGTATTACGGGATAGGGGCTAAGAGAGAGGGGGAGGTGCCTCATGACCGGAGAAGAGATCCTTGGCTCAGCATCCGTGGCAAACAGAAATGCCAGAAAGCCGAGAGAGGAAATTCTAAAATCCACTGAGGAGCAAGGCAGCTATTAGGAAATGGCCAGCCAGACCGGCTTTCTTTTGTCCCTGGCTGGATTCAAACATTCCTTTCTCTCCCACCCACAAGCTGCTTAGCTGGCCACATGGCAGCAAAGAACTGAAACCCCCTTGGCTTATTAAATCAGTCCTAATAAAGGAACTGCCACAGTATCCTAAAAGCAGCCCCTCTGCCCAAATCCTTTCTCGCAGCTGCGCAGTGGGATCATAAGACCCACCAAAGAAAAGACAACTGTTTTAAAAGTGGGATCTTTGATCTCCTTCCATCAAAGAGGGATTATAATTGTGCTGGCCAGCTGAGCCCACAAAGTCTGCCCTCCCTCTTCCTGCCTGCAGCATTTTCTGCAAGGGTAAGTTCTACCCTCTGTCTAGGGCAGGAGAGGATCACGTTGGCTCAGACCCCAGCCCCCTAGTCGCAGAAAGGGGGCATCTGGAAGAGGAGTGGGCTCTGGCTAAGCAACAGAGGGTGACTTCTTAGGCCTGGCTACATCCCTCCTGCTCCTGGCGGTGGTTGAGGCAGTGAGGACTTTCAGAGGTCCAAGCGCTCTGGCCCCTGCTCTGGCCCCTGCGGAGCCCTCTCCTGCCGGCTGGCCTCTTGCATGTTGGCATAGGCCACCTCCTGGGCCAGCTGAGGGAGGGGGGGGCGGCCCCACACCAGGTTCCGCAGGGAGATGCAGGTCATCAGGAGGCTGTGGGCAAAAGGAGGCACACAACACAATCCAAACTGAGCTTTTTTTTGAAGAGCACAAGAGTTGTAAAAATGCACATCCCACACAAAAGTCTGCTTTAGGTTTTTTTGCTGATACCCAGACTGGAGAAGATGATATTTATTGGATTTGCCCACAGTTAGGGGTTATGGGAGATTTTTATCTATTAATTTACAGGAAAGGAAAAGATCATGAAATTGTTTATACTTGGCATGATGAGGGTGGGAAGTCACTTTCTTAGTATTTTATTATCTATTGTTCTTTAATTTTCTCTTTTCTTGCACCCTTTATTCTGGTTTTATATTTATTTTTTTTAGTTTGTATTATCTTTTACTATTTTAACTAAAACTTGTAATAAAGTTATTTAATACAGAGAGAAGGACCTCATCCACCCAAAAGTTCCTCTCTCACCTCCTGCGGAAAATGAAGTACTTCTTGCTTATGAGACGCTGCAGCCGCTCGGCCAGGGTGACGTTGTGTCTTCTTTGCAGCTCCTCCAAGCGCCGCTGGCGGTGGAGGAAAGCCTGAATCACCGGATCTACCTTTGTCACGTTTTCCAGAGAATCTTCCAAGATAGGCTGCAACTCTGGGGGGAGAGGCTCCGTTTCTGCGAAGAGGGAAGGGACAAAAACAGGTTTTAGAAGGTGAAACATCTTCTGAAGACCAGGCTACTACAGAGAAAAAAGTCACAGTCCAGGGTTGATATGCAGAGGGCCTGTCCGGACACCCGGCTTGTTTGCAGGCTTACCAGTCCCATTCTGAACTTTCTCCCGCAACTCCTGAAGTCGAGTGAAGTTCTGCTCAAGAGCCACCTCGGTTGTGTTGACGTAGAGATACATGTAGCAGGAGGGCTCCTGAGAGACTGTGAAGACTTTGTGGTACTCCCCGGCTGGCAGCTGTGACCAAGAAGAGAAAATGGCAAAGGCTCTGGGCAGCCAAAGGCAGCTGGGGACAGCCCCTAAGCAGCAGAGGGCTCCCTTCCTAAGGGCCAGGGGAGCCTCAGTATCTAGGCCGGTCCTAAAGTTGGTAAGTAATATGCCTTCCCAGATAGCCCAGCTTGTGAGAGGAGCTGGCACCTGAAGACGCACAGGGCAACCCAACTCCAACTGGCAACAGGTGGACTGCACAGGGGCTATAGCTAGCTGTGCAGATGTATTGGCATACAGCTATGTGTGTGTGTCTGTAGATCCATACACACACATATGCACACACACACGGACTTATGGTGCCATGCTTCTTCCAACCCTTGGCAGACTCTTTCACTGGGCAGGACAGGGAAGGCCCCCCCCTTCCTTCTCTTCCAGCAAAACCATTTAATCTCGCTGCATTGTCATTGTGAATAGTGAAACACAGCACTGTCGAGATATTTCTTTAGGAGGCAAAGAGAAACCTCTAACTGGTTATCCCAATCTTCCATCTGAAACCTGAGGCCAGATTTGTAGGTCACACCCACCTATGGCTGCCCTCTCCTGATGTAGTTTCTCATCGTGTTATGAGATCCTGTTCTGTGGGAGTGGGGGAGGTGATATTATCTATTTCCCCTCTTCTTTGGGGAGGGGATCAGCACATCAACTGCACAGGAAAGTGTTCTCCCCACACAACATTCAGCCTGGCCCTTACCTGGATCTTGTCTCCCTCTTGCAGTGTATAATTCTTCTGTGAACTGACAATCTCCACTGTGACTTCCCCTTTCAGCAAATGGAGACTTGTGTTACCAAGGTCCTCGCTCACAAAGTTCTCCAGGTGCAGCCCTGCCATGGAGATGGACAACCAAACGTGAACAGCAAAGTCCACGGAAGCACCCAGGTCCACAGTTCTTCCCACATCTCAGCAGCTCCCCAGCTGACAAGAGAGCCATCTTCATTGTGGTTGACTGGCATCAAGAAGCAAAGAGGTAAATACAGGCCTCAAGATGGAAGAGCTTCACCTTAGTAGCCAAAGTCAATTCAGAGAGGCAAAAGAGTAGATGGAGCCAACCTGCAGCTTAGGTAGGAATCCAACTAAAACATCCTGAAGGAGAACAAGGCTTGAAGGCATCCAGGAAAGAGGGGTCATACCGCTTCTTCAGTAGTTCAGTGTTCTTATACAGGTAATCCTCAATTTATGAATACAACTGATCCCAACATTTCAGTTGCTAAGGGAGATAGTTGTAAAGTGAGTTTTGCCCCATTTTATGACCTTTCTTGTCACAGTTGTTAAGTGAATCACTGCAGTTGTTAAGTAATAACACAGTTGTCAAGTGAATCTGGCCTCCCCATTGATTTTGCTTGTCAGAAAGCCACAAAAGGGGATCACATGATCCCAGGACGTTTCAACCATCATAAACATGAGCCAATTGTCAAGTGTCTGAATTTTGATCACATGATCATGGGGTGAAAGACTGTCCTAAGTCACTATCGTTATTTCAAACGGTCATTAAATGAAAGGTTGTAAGTCGAGAGAGGACTACCTGTATTGGAAATTTTTTTCTAAATATTAAATGTTTAGTTGAACATTTGGGAATGCCAATTATGGAAGTCTCCATTATACCCATTACATCATATTGCTCTAATCTCATCTGGCCTACTGCCCATATTTGGAGCATTATTTGTAGACAATGACAGTCAGGAATTTTATGAGTCAGTGTTCTTTCTGACTTTCTGCCAAATAGGTTAAGAGGTCCCATTTAAGGAATACCGGGGAGAAATGGCAGGCCGAGCACCCAAAAGTGCTTTATCCAAAAAGCAATTGGACTTTCTTGGGTTTTTTCTTTGAAAACATTTTGCTTTTCATTGATTGGTAGGGAATAGAAGAATTTATATACTTTTCATTCATCCAGTCATTTGCATTCTGAGAGTTGTTGAGGCCACTCTGTATCCTCGGGGTCACCTGAATCAGAGTACAAACAGGTATGGAAACTTCTTGGACAACTGAAAGGACAGTGTTGTAAACAGGAGACAGGTGGTGTCGTGAAAGAGGCTATCTATGTTAAAATTAAACAGCCCATCCTCAAAAGAGGAGGAGGGATAAGACACCATCAATTTACTTACAAAGCAACAGGCTTTCCTTTCGTTTATTTGACTCTCCTGGGTTAGGGAGAGTCCTAGAATCACCCCACAAGATACTCCAAACAGCAGCAGCCTGCAGGAAGCCCCAGGAGCTGAGCTTCGGAGTAGCCGGGGAGCTGCTGGGGGAGGGGGCAGGGCTGCAACCACTTTGCTGTTGAAAAAGCAGCCAATTGAGAATTTATTTTTCCAAGTGGATAATAGATCATGTCTTCCATTTCTTAATCATTTACTGGGATTATTACCTTTATTAAGCTAAAAAGAGGCTCTGTTTTAGCCGCAGCCTTTTTGAAGATGTGCACTCCTATCAGATCCCCAAAGAAATGTATTCCTTTTTCCTCCTATCCTTCTATAACCATTTCTTGGAGCCTGCCATTCTCTTAGGAGGGGGGATGCTTTGGAGATGCTTTGCATTGCCTTGCCCCTTTGCCCTTCCCACAGGGGAAGGAATGCAACCGAATAATATCACCCTTATCTGGAAGACAGTTTGAAAGCCAGAAAGACCTTGAAGAGCAGGCCAAAGGAGCCAATGACCAAAACAATATGCCACCTGTGGATTGGCTGGGATTCAAATGGACACTGGAAACCTGGGGGGGAGGAGTAACAAATATTGCTTTTGATATACTGCTTGCGCGGGATTTTTCTCTCAGACCTCGCTTTGATTCCTTGCTATCACTAGCTCCTAATAAAAATTCCTTTTGAGACAATGTCTGTTTCGAGAGTTCTGCTTTCTTGGGAGACCTAGTTGAGGCAGGTCCTTACATAAAGCGAGGTCTGCATAGTGCCCAACCCAGAGAGGCAGTTGCCCTACTGAGGTGGGTCGCAATCAACCTGTCCCTTCCTACCAGCAAAATGGAAGAGGCTGAAATAGAGACCTGGAGTGAAGCTGACGCTCTGGAAGACCCCAAGGAAGGTACTTCCAGGGACCTGGAAGAGGCTGGACCCTCGGCAGAAGGAGATCGGACCAGGTGGTCCCTCGGAGTCGGAAAGAAAAAGGACTGGGAAGGAAAGGCTCAGAAAGTGGCCATCACACAAGGCGGTGGAAAGAAAAAAGCTAAAAAGAAAAATCCAGAGCCCCTCCCCCCCAAGAAAGTGGATCCCAAATTGGAGCTGGTGGAGGCAGTCCTAAAGCAAACCGTGGAATACATGAGAGGGTTCCTTGAGGGATGAAAAGCCCAGCTGAAGTGGCACCCGGGGTCGGAGGAAGAAGCAAAAGAAATAGCTGATGATGAAGAACCAGTAGTGCCCGAGGTGGCAGCGGCGGCTTCCCCCCCCCCCCCGCAGCAGCCCTACAGTAAGTGCGCCCTCCCCAAAGACCCAGAGAGAGGCCGCCTCAGCCCGTGGAGGTGAAGCCGATACCGTTGGGGGTGAAATTTGACAGGAATCCCAAAAGATTGGGGTTCTTCCTTGCCCAGGTCTTCACCTACATGCAAATATAGGGGAGGACATTTCCAACGGACGAGGAGAAAGTCAGGGTGGTCACCCTGGCACCGGAAGACGTAGCAGCTGACTGGATGGTGACCCATCCAGAAGAAAACTCCACCGGATGGATGGAAGAGATGGTCACAGCAGAAAGCTCCATGAAACTGAGATGGTCGGTCGGGGTAGGGAAGAGGGAAGAGTGGGAGGGAAAAGCCTAGTGAATAACATTCACCTGAGGTAGCTGGAAGAAAGGCTGGAAACAGGAGATGGAGCTGCTCTCTGATGAGGAGGACTAATCCAAAGGAGAGCAGGAATCAACTAACCAGATCCTGAAGCAAGTCGTGCAATACCTGGTTGAAGCCTTTCAGGACCTAAATAAGTCTGGACAGCGCAGGAGGAGGAGAACAGCTGGAAGAAGCCAAGTGCAGTGGGAGCGAGTTGGGGATGAGCGAAGCCCTGGCAGGGGCAACTGGCTCTATAGAAACAGTGACAGAAGAGTGGCCAACAGCTGGGGGGGGGGGAACTCTCCACTAGTCCCTAGAGGGAGAGCCCCACCGGAGGAGGCAAAGCTGGTTCCCCTAGGGGGTTTCTTCCTGGCTTATGTCTTCACCTACATACAGATGTATGGGAGAACCCTCCCCAGTGAGGAAGCCAGAGTCAGGGTCGTCACCCTAGCCCTAGAAGGAAGACTTTCATGTTCAAGCAACGTCCACCATATAGACTTGGCTTAAAACAAAGATCCGGTTCTAAGAGAACATACGAGCAACTTGGTACCTGGGAAATCAGCAATGAAGACAACCTCGGTCTGGTTGTCCAGCGACTTTTCAATCTCCATCAGTTTGGTCCTCCAGGGTGACAAATCAATTAGAAGAGGCTTCAGCCATGGAGTCTTCTGGAAGGGGGACCAGTGGGCTTGTACAATATCAGTGTTTGGATCAAAGAGCCTGGGAAAAACATGAATGAGAAAATATTAAATTCAGGAGAACTGGCCCAGGGATCAATGGATCAGTGGAAAGAACCAGCCCATCCTCCTCTTTGCCTGTCCAAGCCAATGAAGTTATCATATTTCTATACATCATTTTCCTGAATAGAATAGAAGCCAGGGATTATGCCAATATATCAAACAAAACTTTCATATGATCATAAGCCACCAGAAAGAGGATGGGATACAAACAACTGATAATTATTAAAAAAACAAAAAAATATTAAAACAAAAATTACACAAAATTAAAAAACAAAAATACATTTTTAAGAGATAGATATATAGATATAAAAAAAATAAAACATCTATAGGGACAGGTAAAACGTTAGATAAATACAAAAAACAAATTATGCTACTATATACTATGGTGCTAACTTTATGTTTTAAACATTATCCAAGATTCGGCCTCTGTTCCTTTCTAGGACTGGAAGCAATGTCCCCCTCTCTAGCCAATCCCAACCTCTTCCCATAATCTCCCCAAATGAGGGCTACTTTTTCAGTAATCCCAATTTTACAATTTTTATGTTTCAGCATGACAAATTCCCAAAAGAACACTTTGCTCAGAAGCATCATTTGTTGAAGATTCTGTAACTAAATTACATGGGTTTTTTTTAACAATTGGCACAATTTGCAGATACGTATGCCCGTCTGCTGTCTCACTAACCTTTGCTGGAAACGATCGTTGATGGAAACCCAAACATCAAAGTAGATCTCCGGTTCCGAGACATTGTAATTATGCAACAAGTGACTGAGGCAAGTGGCATACTGCTTCAGCATGTCTGCATGGTCCTTCCAGCGCCGGCTCTGCGTGAAGACCTGCTCCAATATATACAGATCTCAGCTGGAAAACAGGCGTGCAGTTGGCAGAAGGCAGGGCGAGAGAGGGGAGGGGAAAGAAAGGGGGTGCAGAGCATTGGACGGGTCATTGCAGTGGAGGCTGGGGATCAGACTTCTAAGTCCAAATCAGAAGGGTAACTCCCAAGGTCGCTATCACAGGCAATAAACATACTTCATTGGGATATTTTGTCCTGACTGCTAAACAGGCATGGCCTTTTTTAAGGATATGGAGCTTTGTTCCACAAGAAAGCTAGAAGGAACAAGAGTCTCAATTATGGGTTGCACAGTAGAACATTGTGGGGAGGGTAATAAGGCCATATCTATTTATCCAGTCTATATTTAGATATAAATATATACAGATTAACCAGTGATGCTATTCTCTGGAATATCCAAGTCCTCCTCCTCTTCCTTCAATATGAGAATGCAGTGTCTCAAAAACCCAGTGTATTTTTTTCAATATGACTTAAAGCAGCTGTGCACTATGCTTTAGAATAGATCCTAAACTTAAAAGGTCTTCAAAGATTGGGAGGGAGCTTAGACTACAACTCTGGGGAGCTTCCTTAAAAGAGTGGTGTCTTTTCGTGGGCTCATACTGTATCTTGCTAAATGCTTTCAGATCCTCTTCAGTATAAACATGTATTTTGGGGGGGAGGGGGAATTGCACAGTGAGTGTATAGGCCCAGGAAAAGATGTACTTTGGTACTCTGAAGCTTGTTTGTGGCTCCAGGTCCGAAGTGCAATATATTCTTGTTGGTTCAAAATATGTTAAAAGAACTGGAAGAGCAAGTACAGATTAAGCATACAAGGGATAGTCCAGGCTCTGCCAAAGACTCCATTCCACAGCCCCAATACATTAAAATAATCCTATCTGACTGGCAGAGATATTGTTCTGGATCTCTCCACTGATACTGTTATAGTCATCAAGGATCCAAATTCCAAGAAATATCAGAAATTTAACTTCCAAGTGTCTTGCAAATGTCTTCATCCCCAGCTACTGTGGACATCACTAAATCTTTTAATTGGCACAATTAAAGGGCCTTCCAATAATTTGGAAAGTTCTGTTCAGGGAATACTGAGTAGCTGCTGTGATAGCCAAAGTGCAACTGACATGAGCTTGAATTTGACTCTGGATGGGGTTCTCAACAGATTTTCTTTCCCCATCACCTTCCAAACTTCATTGCTTTTAACTTAGGGGTACATGAAAGAGATGTTCAAAAAGAAAAAAATCTTGGTTGTAACCGGTTAGCTGCCTGAATGATCTCTATTTTTGGAAAGCCATAAAATCAGAAGCAACAACTAGAAAAAATTTTCACAAGATTTCAGGAATCTGCCAACAGTTTGCTAAGATCAGCGCTGGAAGCATCTAGAAGAGGCCTGCCTGAAGGGCCACACCAAGAATGCATTTGCCCAAGACAAAAGCATAAAAGCATCATCAAAAACTAGCAAGGGAAAGAACTGTCTGGTAAACAAAGTTTCAAGAACAGATGGAGAGGAAATGTAGAGAAGAACTGGATGGCAGCAACAAAGACACCCTGAGGAGGCTGGGCGATGAGAAAAGGAGAACACAAACAGAACCAGCCACCCTTTAGGAAGAAACATGTGGGCAATGAGCTAACTGCCAAAGAACAAGGTCCCAGGTGTTGATATCATCACTGCAAAATTGCTAAGCCACAACCATCACAGCCTTGGGCCAAAAAAAACTGGGAAACAAACACATGGCCCCAGGATTGGAAACCATCAGTGTTCATTTCATTCCATTCCATTGGATGGAAACTCCAAGGACTGCTCCAATTAATGCACAACTGCCCTCATCCCTCATGCTACTAAGTTTCTTCTTAAGATCATACAACATCTGGCACTGACCATCGAAAAGAAATTGCCAGAAGTTCAAGCTGGCTTCAGAAAGGGTTGTGACACTAGTGACCATATTACAACCAATGCAGAATCATGGAAAAATCTCAAGATTATCAAAAGAACATCTGCTTTATTGGCTGCAAGAAAGCCTTCAATTGTGTTAATTGTGTCAAGCTGTGGAGAGCCCCAGAAGATCTGGGGGTGCCAAAAAATCTGGGGAAGTTGGTGCAGTCACTGTATACAAATCAGGAAACCATTGTGAGAATACTGTATGGAGGTACCAATGGGGTCAAGATAGAAAGAGGGGTGCATATGCACAAAAATGGAAGGATACTTTGATTCCCACAATGGACAAATGGCTGCAAAAGTTGATGGAGTTAGCAGAGATGGCTAAACTGACTGCCCTGCTTTGATTAAAGAAAAGAACACAATTAATTTTGTTTCTCTTTGGAAACCATTTTTGGACCTTGTGTTTGAGGTGGAAAGCCCCAAAAGATGAGAGGAAGTCCTCTTAGTAGGCTTGCAACTCTTCCACTCTGCGTCCCTATTGAATTTCTGGGGAGGCAGAAAAGATTACACATGGCAGTCATAGTATCTTGGCAACCAGGGGCA